ATGCTTTTTTTCTTAAAAATGTTTAAGACTGAATTTCTAAAACTAATATTTTTTTACACAAGGATGAGGTTTGGCTGTGGTTGTTGTGAATTTTGGACCCTTCCATTCCCCACAATTTAGTTGCTAGGATGCTCAGGAAAAAATATATGTGTTTATAAATACATATGTAATTTATAGTAATTTAAGGTATGTATTATTACCATACATACCTTATTATTCATGTGTTATCTTACTTTTATCTCCAACCTGATTATTCATGTGTTATCTTACTTTTCTAATCCTTATTTTCTCTTCACCTTTATTATCTCACTTTTATTTTTGTCCTGTGCATTTTCATATTCAAAGTGCTCTGATAGGAGCCTTGGGGGCACTGTTAAGTGCTCAGCTTCTAACCAAAAGGTCAGCGATTCAAACCTCCCAGCTGTTAGCCCCCAGAGAAAGGTGTAACAATCAGCTACAATTTACAACCTTGGGGACTCTATGAATCAGTTCTACTCTGCCCTATGAGCTGGAATTGACTTGGTGGCAAGAGGTTTTGGGTTTGCAATATAATCCAGTAGTGGAAACCAATGAAATCCTTTTGAGAATGAAGCAAAATAGGAAAAATTCAATTAAATTCCAGAAAATAAAATTTCATTTTCAAGGAGCTCTCAAATTCATTTATCAGCAAATTATTAAGGGATGTTTTCTGTATGCACTTTAAAGGCTAAAACAGAAATCAAGAGCATTGCCCTTTGATGTGGAAATTGAACAGAAACTGAAAAATTAGAAATAAATATCTCCCCTACCAATAATAAGCTCCTTTCAAAAGAAAACTGTTGAGAAGAACTTATAATAAATTACACTGCTTGGAAGAAAAGAAATTGCAATGTAAATTGTTCTCTGTGCCAAGTTGCAGTCCATTCTTATGTCATTATCAAATGTCATACAGCACCAGTCATAAAAAGTCCCTCTGTGTGTTGCACTATTTTTGCCAGAGCAAACTGATCTTCATTCTTTGAAGCATAAATACAGATTAATCAGTGGGAAAAGATAGGTGCTGTTTCCCAAATAACATATTGATGACTACTGTCATGGATGTATGGTGGTGCCTCCAAAAGATATGCTCATGTTTTACTTCCCAGAATCTGTGAACGTGACCATTTTTGGAAAAAGAAATCTTTGCAGATATAATTGATATAAGGATTTTGAAATTAGAAAATCTCAGATTACTTAGGTGGGCCCCAAATCCAACAACCAGTGTCCTTATGATGTAAAGATGGAGATAAAGAATGGAATGATGCAGCCACAAAGCAAGGAATTACTGGAATCACCAGGATCTGGAAGAGGCAATGTAGGATTCTCTCTAGAACATTCAGAAGGAGTCTAGCCCTGCTGACAACTAGGTTCTGGACTTCTGGCCTCCAGAACTGTGAGGGAATTAATTCCTATTAAGTTGTCCAGTTTGTGGTAGTTTGTTATAGCACCCCCAGGAAATAGTCACCTTAATGTTTGTGCTTTGCTTTCTCTGGTAGGTGGCTGGAGTATATGAGCTTTGTAGTGAAATAAAAGTGGCTTGCAAATATCTTATGAAAACAAAATTCTAGAAACTGCTGTTGGCATCTTCCTTGATATAAAAGCAATAACATACGCCCAAGTGAAAGGGATGTCCTGGTGTGACGCTGTGGGTTAATGCGACAAACTGCAAAGCCGTTTGAACTGCAAGGTTGGCAGTTCAATCTCACCAGCTGCTCCTTGGAAACCCTTTATAGGGTCGCTATGGGTCGGAAGTGACTCAGCAGCACTTAACAACAACGACAACGTAAGCCCAAGTGAAAGGGATGCTTAGATCAGATTCCGTTTTCCCTGTTTTCCCATCCCTGCACTCTGATCTATGCTATGCTCTGGAAAACATAGCCAGAGGGAGCCTATTCCTAACCTCTCACTGACCATTTCAGTAAAATATTTTGGGTAGGTAAGCTCTAGGCACGTACAAAAAGGACATCACAGGCCAGTTCGTCAGTGCGTACAGCTGACCACTCCCTTTTCTACTGGACTGCTCTTCCAAGAGGATCGTCCCCTTATGCTTCTTCCTGTCTGACCAGCCTTTATACTCTATTGGTTCTTGCACCCTTAACTATTGGTGTCCACCAGTATTTTGTCATTTGCTACCCTTTTTTTCTGACACCTACACATTAGGTAAGGAGTCCTGGTGTGGTGCTGCGGGTTAATGCACTGGACTGCAAGGTCGGTTTGAACCACAAGGTCGGCGATTCAAGCTCACCAGCCGCTCTTCAGAAAACCCTATATAGGGTCTCTATGGGTCAGAACCGACTCAACAGCACTTAACAACAGTATCAGCAACACATTAGGTAGGAGTTCTGGTGTGGCGCTGTAGGATAAGCACTAGACTGCTAACTGCAAGGTCTTCAATTCAAACCCACTAGGGAGTTCTGGTATGGCACTGTGGGTTAATGCACTGAACTGCAAAGATGGTTTGAACCACAAGGTCAGTGGTTCAAGCTCACCAGCTGCTCCTCGGAAATCCTATACAGGGTCACTATGGGTCAGAACCAATTCAATGGCACATAACAACAACAGTCACTCCTTGGAAACACTATACAGGGTCACTACAAGGATGCGAAAGCTGGACAGTGAATAAGGAGGATCGTAGAAGAATTGATGCCTTTGAGTTGTGGTGTTGGAGGAGAATACTGAGGGTGCCATGGACTGCCAAAAGAACCAATAGATCTGTTTTGGAAGAAGTGCAGCCAGAGTGCTCCTTGGAGGCCAGGATGGCTAAGCTTCGTCTCTCCTACTTTGGACATGTAGTCCGGAGGAAACAATCATTGGAGAAGAATGTCATGCTGGGTAGGGTGTAGGGTCGGAGAAAAAGAGGAAGACCCCCAACGAGATGGATCAGCCAGTTGGCATCATTGATGGCGTCAAGTGTGGCAGCGGTGGTGAGGTTGGCCCAGGATCGAGCATTGTTTCGTTCTGCTGTGCATGGGGTCGCTATGAGTCGGTTCCGACTTGATGGCACCTGACAACAACAACAACAAGTCAGAACCGACCAGATGGCACTTAACAACAACAACACCTCAGGTAATATTACTGACGTCGTGTCTCACGGCTAGATTTTTGTATGTGAGCAAGTGTGTGTGTGTGCATGAACTCAGGGTATGTACGTGCCACCGGCATGTATGTTTGCATATACTTGTGTCAGCATGCATGTATTGTGTGTATGGTTGTGTGCATGTGTGTGCTGAATCCAAAATGTATACGCCCATCTGTGGTCATTTGCAAGAGAGCCTAGCACAGACACAGCAGGCCAAGCTGAGGGAGTGCAGGTGTTGGCCAGGTGTCTCTCTGTCCAGGCTTGTCTCAGTGAACACCGGGAGACAAGACCTCTCAAGGAGGAAGAAGCCGGGAGTGTCTATCACTGTATAAGATGTGAGAAATCAGTGCCGCCTCCATTTTCTCACCTAGTGTCTTTACTGCATAGTCCTCCTTTACAGTGGACAGCAGCCCACAGTTACACTGTGTCAATCAAGTGAACATCTTCCCTGGGTCACTGCTGTTCAAACATTCTGTAGTTCTTCTGCTCTTGTTAGTCTCATTCCAAATTAATCATACCACCGATTTCAGAACATGGCGCCTCCTCATTGTTTACAGGACAATGCCTAAGAGGTTCCACTTGGCTCTCCACGTTGTCATGTTGACTTCTCTGGTCTGCGCAGTGCCCTTCCTTCCACATTGCACAGCTACTGCCAGGCATCCAGGGTCATCCTGTGGGCCTCATGACTACAGCGCTTCGTCCTTCTTCCCTCTTCCTAGCCAGAGATTTCTTTCCCTCCAAGTTGTCTTATTAGCCGCTCCTTGGAAACTCTATACAGGGTCTCTATGAGTTGGAACCGACTCAACGGCACTTAACAACAACAAGGAGGGTTTTTACCTTAGCACTTTACAATTGTGAGGAGAAGGTAACAGAACTCCAGTAGAATCCTGTTGTTAAGTGCCATGCACTAGGTTCTGAGTCATATTAACCCTATATAGGGTTACCAAGGAGCAACTGGTGGGTTTGAACCATCAACACTGTGGTTCTCAGTCTAGTACTTATCCTATAGTGCCACACCAGAATGCCAGCATAATATTACATGTAACAAAATAGATTTTGACATTATCCCATCGCCAACAAATTTAATAATTACTTTCAGTGAAAGCCAGAAAAGATGTTGGTATTTTATAAGATGATATGTACCCCAGGATTCATGCAGTGTATATCAAATTATGAAGAGTATTTCATTTCCTCTTTCAGAATAAAAGAACTCTTGAATAGGTAGCATTCAGAATTATTTCTCTCTCCCTTTGTGTCAAAACCTGGCGTCAAATGATTTCTCTTTAAAAATAAAATAATTGCTTTTTTTTTTTTTTTTTTTTTTAATTTTTTTAAGGCCAGACTTCGTATGACAAAAGAGGAACTGGAATTTTTAAAGTAAGTGAGTTTCCTGATACATGGACTTTCTGGTATGGTTGTACATACTGAAATTTCTTTGTAGTTTCATAAAATTAAACATTATTTCTCTATAATATGGCACCGTTCCTCTTCATGTCAGTCATGAGCATTTTTTTTCTGGATTTTTCTCTTGTCTAAGTTTTAGTGTGGAGCTGTAATATAAATACTGGACTGCTTACAAGGGAGGCAGTTCAAATCCACCATGTGCTCCTTAGAAATCCTATGCAGGGTCACTATGAGTCGAAATAGGCTCCATGGCATTTAACAACAAGTACAAAAAGTGGCAGCGACCCTGTATAGGGTTTCCTCATGATGAAACATGATGAAGACCTTGTAGTTAGCAGTACTGTGCTTATCCTATAGCACCACACCAGGACTCCTGGTCCTAACTAACGTTCTACCACTAAATCAAGTCCTAGGCCTAGCCCCGATCTAGCCATAGTTTTAACCCTAACTCCTGATTCCTGGTGGTGGTGGTGGTGATGTGCTGTTAAGTCAGTGCCGACTCATACTGACCCTGCATAGGATTTACAAGGCTGTATATCTTTATGGGAGCAAAAAACCTCATCTTTCTCCTGTGTATATGTTGGTGGATTCGAACTGCTGACTTTATGGTTTGCAGCCCAGTGAGTAACCCCACTACACTAACAGGGCTCCTTAACTTCTTACTTCTACCCATCCTCTCTCTGCAAATATTACTTTTATCCATAAAAAAATGGAAACAAACCTGGATGAGAAAAATAGGCCACTGGTTAAATGTTAGCACTTTACAGTATGTTGTATATATAATGGAATATTAAAAACTCATTCAATTAATTCTAAAATATATGTAATGATTTGAAAGTATAATGAGACATAAAAATATAAGTACAATCTGTATTCTGTCCATAGATTTTTGCATAGAATAAAAACCATCGGGAACAACCTAAAGTTTAGCAGTGTTTATATCTTCTAGACTTTTGCTTTTACCAAATTTGAATGTGTGTTCTTTTAAAATTTTGGAAAAATTACTAAATATGTAGTGGTGGCTCGGTACAACAAACACTGGACTGCAAAACACTGGTTCAATTCCACCAGATATTCTGCAGAAGAAAAAATATGAGACTATCTACTTTCACTAAGATTTTCAGCTTTAGAAACCCTGTACAAGATTGCTATGAGTCAATACCAACTCCTTGGCCCTTAACAACAACAATTTTCAAGCATAAAGAACTTTTATTAGCTTGGCATTTTCTTTTCTACCAGTAACATTCAGACTTTAAAAGATGCTGAACCACTTCCCCAAAAGTAAATTATTGAAGAACAGAACATACTTCTTAAAAGAAACACCGAGAGGAAAAATACAAAACGATATAGGCAGTCTGACTGTTACTACAAGAACAAGCAAGTTGCTCACCCAGGAAACATCAAGTCAAGTGGTCAGGTCCCCTCAGGGCCCACCTCCTTCCAAGACTAAGACTCAATGGGAATACACGCTCTGATTGGTGACCACGTTCATCACTGATAAGGGGAAGTGAGGGAAAAACAGCAATGAAGCAGCGAGCTACGCCCTACAACATTCAATAGACTCTTGTGAACCCAGGTGGAGAACTGGTCGGCCAGAAGTGTGACAAGACCTGGGGACTCTTAGGCCCAGAGTCAGTGATACAGTCTAGCCACAGAGGACTAGA